GGGGGGGACACGGAGGTCCAGTTCACCTGCGGATACACCGAGTTTGGAAGCATAATATAAGAATTCCTATGGAGACAGGAACCTGAAGTAATATGTACTCAGAAACTATGAATATATACTACGGCACTTAAATGCACAAACCTCATAAAATATGATGTTGCTTGGAGGTGGCAAAATGCATAAACAGAAAAGAAAAACATTAGATCCTTCAAAACCAAACACCTATAATTTTTGCACTTGTCAAAAAAGATTCCCTCTAAAAGGTTACATCCTCCAAAACCATAAACAACCAAGATAGGAAAAAGAAAAAAGAAGGGGAAAACAGAATAGATAACAAAGAAATAAAGACGATTGACAAGGTCAAATGTCAAACGTAAGTATTAGAAGCTACTGCCAGAGGGATCAGCCTCATCTAAGAAATGGTAGGTAATTGAGAGGGAATAGGGAATAGCAACAATATAAAAAGACACCATAGACAGGAGGAAAATGCTTTCCTCTTCAACTGCCTAATATAAACTTAATCAAACTGATCACATGTAATTGCATCATCAATAATCTTACACTTGTCAATTGACATAAATAAACAATCAGACAAACCTCACAAAGTCGTAAACTGATTCAACCTCTGAGCCTTCCACTTGGAAGCCCTATGACTCAGCAAGCGTTTGAAAGGAAACAAAGAAGGTCGATAAGATGTCTTACGTTTCATATTCCCTGCAATAGATTGATGGAAGTGTTAACCATATGTTTTTCACCTGAAGTAGAAGATGCTCAAAAGATATTTTATCTGAAGCACAGACCAGAAAAAGATAATTATTGCTTATAGAATTCAAACAAACACAAGTGGTAACCAAGTACTTGAAGGAAAAGAGACTATGCAGAGCTATCGATTTTGAAAGTCCTGAACCATCCCTCTCCAAACGTCAATCCAATCATAAGGAGAAATAAATTTGGAGAATCAACTTAGGACCATGGCAAGGAATCAAATGCTAATAATGACCAGTAAGCACCAACATGCTTGGGTTGATCGAATGACAGATATTGCTGACTCAACATATAATGATGCTAGCAAGAACAATACTTTTGCAACTGAGATCAGGAAGATAGAGGGTAAAGGAGATAACGATGGTGCATCTGAAGCTATCAGTCAACAGAACTCTTAGACAGAAGATGATAGTTAATACATTTCAACCACTTCAAATCTTTCTCCCATTTCATTTTCACTAGGTTATTGTTTATCAGGACTAAAATAAAAGCTACTTAATTGATCATCATTTTCTCAATTAAATCTAA